CTAGCGCCATCTGTCGTCCTGTCTCCTGCACATGTGACATGCCCGATGCCATTTCTTCTTCTTGATGCTCTCAAGTACACTTCCCACTTTTGTCTGTTCTCTGATGCATGTCGTCCTCATCCGATCTTTTGGGCCAATTCCCAGCATCAACCTTCCCATTTGTCTCTGGGCACTTTCTAGCTTGCTCGCCTGTAATTTGGTAATTATGGAATTTGGGTATTTGGTAATTTTACAAGTTTTTTTTATCCATATGTCATAACTGGGAGGATGCATTGGTTAAATATTTTTCTTTGTGAGTACATATGTATATGTATACACACACGCACTCTCTCTCTTTCTCTTTCTCTTTCTCTCTCTCTCACGCTCACGCTCTCTCTCGCTCTGGTTCTCGCCCTCTCTCTGGCTCTTTCTCTTTCTCTTTCTCTCTCGCACGCACCCACTTGATCTCCAGTGCAAGGTCTATATAAGTACATATAGACCTTGCTCCAGTGTACCCATGAACGATTTCTTGCAATGTATTTCCGAATTTCAAGTAATTGCAGGCCCAACATTTGTCCAACACAAGCATACCAACTTATCCCTAAAGACCAACATGCATGCGTGAACCACTGCCTAATGCAGTTCTCAACCTGTGCGCCGCGAAATTTCAATAGATATCTAGGTATGTCTTGAATTTGTGCCTTGCATCACATATATAATAAAAACAACAACAATAATAATGGTAATAATAATGCTAATAATATTACGTATAATTATTATTACCAATATTATTATTGTTATTATTATATAAATATCATTATTCCTGTTGTGACTATTATTATTATTATTATTATTATTATCACCGTTGTAATAATTACCCGCGTGCACACATACTCGTAGTAATGTTATGGCTAGCCTTATGTGTACCTTTGTGTCAGTGGAATGCGTAGCAAGCTTATACATATATTGCACTCACTGTATAGTTAGTGTGCCGTCAAAGTCCAGGCTATATCATTAATGCGCCACTAGCCAATAAAGCTTAAGAACCTCTGGCCTAATGGCTAAAAACGCTAAACATGTCCACCGATCTGAATTTAATATGAGGTGATGAAAATTTGCAGATTCATATATTCCTAGGTTCGTAAGTGTTCGTAAAACTGTAAGACAACATAGGTAGGGTATGAATCCTTGCACGTGGTTTGAATCTAAGTGGAAACTCACAAGAGACTACACATAAATAGTTATTGATAACATGAAATATTTTGATAAGTGTCCTGAATTTATTGAATACATAAGGGTGGTTTTTCGTTAGGCAAACAAGTGATTAAAGACTGACTGTTGAAATAGTCACATCATTTTTATATCAGCAGTAAGAAAGATGTTCGTTTGTTTTTTACTATAGAAAATAGGAGTATTTCTTGATATTCTGGAGGTGTGTGTACACACATACATACATATATACCGAATACATACATACACGTACAGCATACATAGATACATTTATTACATTACATACATATATAATCATATGTGTGTAATAAATATTTGATTGTTTATTGCAAATTTTCTGTCTCGTCAATATCTAAGGTCTATTCAAAATATAGCGATATGGTGAGGCTTAGGATGAAGCCCACAGGTAAGGCAAGGTCAAACAGCACAATGGCAAATGCTGTGACGAAAAGAGTAAAATGAGTTAATGATTAGGAAAAAATGTTAGATGTCAAAGGCTGTCGAGCGCTGTGGGTTAGTCTCATCGTTTTAAAAGGATTAAGAGGAAATGGATAATGGTTAATGGTTAAAAGCAAACTAAATGTGCTTGACATCTAAGGTTATATAGCACTACAGAAAGGTATAGTAAAGGGTGATGACAGGTGATAGTTGCTATGCATCAACTATATAGGGTAGTGTTGAAAGGTTAAAGATGGGTAAAGGAGTTGAAGAAGGAATGGCTTATGGTGGTTTAGGTAAAGGAATTAGATCAAGTGAAGGAATATTTATGTGTCTGAGGAAGGAGAACAGGTTGTTGAGCAGAAGCTGTGGGATTCTGTAACGATGTCCGATTTGTTGGGAGATCGGTGAAGGGAGGATAAGTGTGGAAGAGCAGAGGTACGGGCTGTACTGAAACGTGGACGGGACAACAGAATGTGTGTAACTGAAAGAGGGACATTACATAGGGGGTATAGGGGTGGGTCAGAGTGTGAGAGGTGTTAGGCAGATTTGGCCAATACGTAAGCATGAGAGAGCCGTCTCTCAATGTCTGTTCCAGTGAAATGGAGCTGACCAAGAGGAGACTGATAGTTTTACAGTATGTAATTTATTAGTGTGGCGACTTGACCAGAAAGATTACCATTGGGTAAATAGGAAGGTCTTAAAGTGGGGATAATAATCCGTGGCTGGAATATGTGAGAAGCGTGGTTAGTGTGATGTGGACGTAGCGGCATAGCGTGCTCAAGTTTCTGCCTGTTTACACACACACAACATGGATTCCAACATGGCTGGGCACCCAGCAAAATCTGATAGATTTATGGCATGTGGACAGGTAGAACAACCAGTTCTGGATCTTACAGACAAGGGGATTGGTCGAGTGCATAAACTTTATGAGGGTTAATGAGTTATGGGAGTCAGTAAAAATAGTGAGAAGAAGAAGGGAGTGATCATATACATTTTAAGGCAAAAATGAGTGCAAATAGTTCTGTAGTAAGGACACTAGATGGAGGAGTGTGATTTGGGAAGGTTACTGCGAATCCAGCTCCTAAAGTGGATTTGGACCCATCAGTGTAAACATGAAGGCTGGAGGAATGAATGGAGACATGGTCAAGGAAATGAGTGAGGAGGATAGAGGGGGGGATATCTGATTTTGGTGGGTCAGGGAAAACTGAGGAGCAAATACAGGAGTAAGGTATAAGCCATGGAGGAACGGAATGGACAGACAACAGGAGAGGTCGGAGGTGGGGAAAGGGGGAATGGGAGAGGAGGGTATCCATAGGCACAGAGAAAGTAGGTAAATGTGGAGAAGAGTTAAGGATTGTGGGATAGTTATTTTGGTAAGGGAAAGCTGGTGGAATCGAGCATAACATCGGAGAGAGAGAAGGGCTCGACATCAAGAGAGATATGGCATGCGTTAAGAGGGAAGAGCAAACTGAATACAAAGGCCATTCAGGATTGACGCAACATGACGATGATGAAGTAAAGGAAAAGTTAAGGGGGAGAAGAGACCATGCTCAGTCTCCTTCTCTTAAGCCCCCCACATGTCAACAAGCAAGCGATGGGGGTGGGGGGTAAATAAATAAATATGCATATATAAAGAACATAAATGTCTTTCTGTCTATTTGTTGCTTTCTCTCTCTGCCATTTTTTTTTTCCAGCATAAACATATCCTTTGGTGGCACGCAGAGCTCCATAAGCACCACAGTCCAGTACTTTGGTATTGGTTCTTAGTAGTCATATGTAGTAATTTGATGCCTAAGTTGAAGTCCCTAAGGCAGTTCATTGCTGGCTTCAATTTCGTTCTGGCAGTTCCTACAACAGAAGCGGTACTAAGCTGCACGGGCTCTTGCCCTTCCCTTGGATTACATCAGTGATATGGAGGTGGCAGAGCTGCTGCAGAGACAACTTGTCTTCTATAACATCCGTCTGCATCCAGGACAAAACACTCCAACACTGCTGCTGTAGCAATGATACAACACAAGAAGCAAGTTATCAGTTATAAGCCTCTGGTACCAGAATCCACTTCTGACAGTGGGAAAGACTGTTTCAGCTGTAATTCATGAGTCAAGACTTCAAGGTGTATATCCAACTCCATTTGAGGCCAAGGGACAGTAGTGGGTGCATTATATTATGAAAGTAATAGTACTGCCATTAAGTTGAATTTTAAGACAATGGTAATTACTTAACACTTTACTTCCATGGAAAAGTAACGCGGTACAAATACCATTACTTTTTAAAGTTCTGCCCTATCTCTGCGTCTCTCCATACATGTATGTACGTACATACATATATTTACATTTAGTTGGGAACATACCCCAAGCTTCACTTGCCAATTATGAATTATAAAAACAGATGAATAAATAAATCCCAGGAAATATAGCAATGGGTCATACTATAGACAGCAGACATAAGCTCACCAGCCCACAAGACCATTGCTGCTTTAGATCAATACGTTGTCTCAGTTGCATTCAAGATTCACCGACACCATGAGAACTTTAGAATATGGGACGACCATCATGTAAGTCCTGTATACCATATTTCATTAGAACATGAGATATTCTTCTTTATGTATACATATGCTGGAGATTTCTTCTTTATGTATAAGTGTAAAGGAGTGTGAGTGTGAGTGAGTGAGGCAGTGTGTGAGTGAAAGTGAGTGAGGCAGTGTGTGTGTGTGTGTGTGTGTGTGTGTGTGTGTGTGTGTGTGTGTGTGTGTGTGTGTGTGTGTGTGTGTGTGTGTGTGTGTGTGTGTGTGTGTGTGTGAAGGTGAGTGAGGCAGTGTGTGAGTGTGTGAGTGAGACAGTGTGTGTGTGTGTGTGTGTGAAGGTGTGAGGCAGTGTGTGTGTGTGAAAGTGAGTGAGGCAGAGTGTGTGTGTGTGTGTGAGTGTGAAAGTGAGTGAGGCAGTGTGTGAGTGTGAAAGTGAGTGAGGCAGTGTGTGAGTGTGAAAGTGAGTGAGGCAGTGTGTGTGTGAGTGAGTGAAGTGAGTGAGGCAGTGAGTGAGTGAGTGAGTGAGTGAGTGAGTGAGTGAGTGAGTGAGTGTGAGAGAGTGAGTGAGAGAGTGAGTGAGTGAGTGAGTGAGTGAGTGAGTGAGTGAGTGTGCTTTCTCTCCCCCCTCTCTCCCTTTCTCCTGCTCTTTCCTCTTAAGCCAATCTACACCATTTTTCTGTAAAAAACTGCAAATATGTTTTTTCTTGTTCTTCCTTTTTCACAGAATATTCAGAAATTGCATGTCATTGAGTATATTTCTTTCTCTCATTATAACAGCATCCTTGGAAGATTACATTTTATTGGTCAAAAAAATCAAAACAACAGATCCATTAACTATAAATTTACTGGTGACTTCATGAACAAACTCCAATCGTTAAACCATACACGCACATGGGAATGTAATTTATTCTGCATCTTTGAAAATAACATGGCTTCTTTAGTGAACATTCATTTCCTTTACACATGATCTTTGAACATTTCACATCCTTTAAAGAAAACCAAAAACAAAATACTTGATCGTCCCTTATTAACCGATGAAGTTAACAGTAACCAGGTGAAGGATGATGTGCGCAAAGATGAAATCTGCAAAGCCTCGTTCTGGGGAGATGCCAACGAACTGCATTTTGTTCTGAGGGTTTGCCTGCAGTCTCAAGCTCACTGTGGAATAAAATAAGATAAATAAATCAACAAATCAACTATACGTAATAAAACAATAAAATCAATTACAGTAATAATCATCATCATAATTACATTACATATAGATAACACAAAGATAATGACCCAGATCATGAAAGAAAATTAAACATATGACAAGTCCGACAGCTAACTTTACAAACCAATACCAAACCGATACTTACCCCCTAAAACAAAGCAGCCAACCGTACTGATGAACCCAGACAGGAAGGAGTTGAATGGGAAAGTTCCGACTAGACAGCAGTACACAAACTGGATGATCCCGGTCAATAGAACATACAAGAGGTAGGCATCGACGATCTTTAATTTCTTGGGAGTTTTCTTCATGTACTCATCATAGAAGTTTCTGACAACCACCAATAGCGACGTTGAAGACATGATTGGCTTCTGGAATGGGTGACAAATTTAGAAATCCCGATCTGATAAATAGTTATGTACACACAAAAAATACCCTAGAGTGTTTCCCTGTTTCAGATTACAATACTTCACTGTCCACATCTGACATCATTTACACCACTAAAAGATCAAAAAATAGCAATCGCTATTCTCATCTAAGTGTACATTTTGGAAAAAAAGAAAGCAAAAAAACATGTCTACCTTATTCGTATCAGTAACATTCTAATTTGAACTAGAAGTATTTGTTTATTGTATATAGTTTACAAAAAATATATTGGGTATACCCTCCATTACTTTAAGTAAATCTACTATACATCACTGATATAAATTACACTGATTAGCATTTAAGAGGGAGCTCAGACAAAAGTGCTTGATATCCTGCATCAGGCATATACAGAGGAAGTATACAAGATTACCAACATTTACATTTCACTCCTTTGCAAATCCATGCTTATCATGCCACACTGAATATATCTATGGGTAAGCTATTGCAGTTATTTAGGTATAACAACCAGTTTACCCACTCACAGAGGACCATCTTAATATAGTTCAAAGAGTAAATTTGGTGAAGTGTGATAAACTTGGATAATATTAAGCTGCCACTGGAACTGTTTATCCAATTATTTGTCCTCTACAAAAATATCATCTTGAAGTTTCCCACAGCCATGTAGTAAAAGGTAAAATTTGCATGTAATGGACTCTTCATCTACCTTCGCAAGGTAATAACAAGAAAGCTGAATAGCATATATTACTTTGGTAAACATTTACAGCAAAATGTAATAGCACTATAATAATCAAAGACAAAAACTTCACCCACTAAAACATGAAAAAAATCTGTAGAGGCAAAAAAATAATGAAATATGAAGAAAACAGGGTGCAACAAATGCCGCACAAAGATTAAATCCACAGTGACTATGATGGCTGTGTGAAACCAATAAATGGTTAAAGCTACAGAGCGATGCACAGAGATTAAGGGATATGGACACCACTATCTTATAGAGCATAAGAAGCAGTCATAAACAACACAGGTATTGCTACAGTGGCCTCATATTTACCGCTATCTGACAAATATATCCACTGCATATCACTGCTCAGACCACATCATCCTCACACAGATGTGTTGTGTCATTTTCAATAAGATGACACAAAGTGTTAATAAAGGGGTGCAGGGGGCTTGCCCCCCTGTCAACAGAATAAATAGAAGCTAGGAAAGGTTAGGTTTGGATCTTTGGGTTTACATGATACCTTGATTTTGGGACAGTCTCTGGAGGGTGCATCACTCTCAGTAACAAATAACTAATAAATTACCGCCCTAATTTGATCAACATTGCAAAACACTGAAAATATCATTCAAAGTTGTTCCATGCTGTTCTTCTAAATTGGTCTATCAGTTCCCAATACAGCTTTGACAATACTTGGTCAATCTTTACAGTATGTAAATAATCTGCAGACACAAACAGTAACACCACAAATGAAGGCAACAGATGGCATAAAGCATTGCACTCAGCCTAAGTCCCAAAACCAGGGTTACATGCGAACCCAAACACCCAAACTAACCTTTCCTACCTGAATCCACTCAGTGGCTATTTTTATTTCCAGCCATGGGTATTTCTTACTGATGGTATCATGCAAACCCAGAAATTCAAACCTTACCTTTCCTACCTTCTATTTATTACTTGACAGGGGGCAGAGTCCCCCTCAACCTCCCTCACGACAACTTAAATTGATGAATAACTTGTGACATGGATTTGTGCAAGGGTGTCCGTACTATAAACAATTACTGGTAGTTGTTACCCCCCAGAGACTAAGTCCAAAACCAGGGTTACATGCGAACACCAAACTAACCTTTCCTACCTTCTATTTATTCCCAAGACAGAGGGGTAAGCCCCTCCTGTACACCCCCTCCATTTATTAACACAGACACTCTGCCTTTGTTAGGGTGTTGTGGAATTAATCTATGAGCGGTGATATGCAGCAGACATTTTCATCATTTACCAGTAAAAACGAGGCCACTGCAGCTTAAACAATGTTGTTCCTTATTCTATTTCTTACAGTCTATAAGATAGCAATGTCCACTTCCTTCTATCTTTGGGCACTGCTCTCGGTAACCTATACTAAATTACCCGTGTTATTTATGACTATATTCCTTATGTTCTATAAGACTGCAGTATCCATTTCCCAATATCTTCGTGCATTGCTCTTGGTAAATTATACCCGGCCCAGATTGGAAAGTTTGTAAACTGTGCAGGAGAGTTGATATGTAGCAGTTCAATTTGTGCAGCTATAGTTTACTATCATAAAAAATTACACAGATGGGTATGAGCAGGACAAAATAGTAACTTCTTTTCCCCTGTTTGATTGGTTTGATTTGTTTCCATGTTTAAATATCTAGCTGAGGTTGGGATTTAGGTGCACAGCCAATTTAAACTTTTAATATTATTGGAAAACAGCGTCACCAAAGAATCAATCAAAACTAACCTCATAGCCTTGAAGATATTTAATTAATGATTACTTTTCATTAAATAAACTTGACTCGCAAATAAATATTAACAAAGGTACTTAATTATAAACATAAATATAAATAGAACTAAACGGAGGTGAGATTTTCACGATAACTGAGGAAATACTGACCAAATTCTCCACTGCACATGCATGGGGTTTTTAGTACCCATCCTGTTCCACTTAACTTACTTGTAACGTCATGGCCAGTGTCACGATTTCATTGGACAATTGATTGGTGCTTATTGCCAATGAGGAAACAAGCCACAAGGTAGTAACCAATGAATGAACATTAGCTAAAACTGAAGCTATGAAATTCAGTTTTAAAATTAGTTTTCCCATGGCTTCCGTATGTGTAGGGTGTCATATCAAACCATACCAAGTCATAAAAAATTATTCTGAAAATGATGAGGCTAGCTTAAAACTATTACATGAACACTGAGTGCTATCCTCTGAAGTGGTTTGCAACCAGCCGTCGTGACACTGCTCATACTCACGCAGACCTCTCCAACACTTCCACTCCCGCATGATGCTCCATTGATATCAACAACTCTCAACCCAGCCCCTCCTTAGCATAGATGTGTTGTAAGGTTTATTCTCACTCAAGTGACTAGATTTACAGTACTTCGCGTGTGTATGAATGGCATGTGGAAGCACCTGATGCTAACTATGTCCCATGCTCGCTCCTGCCATGAATATGTGGAGGATTATTTGTTTTCCTGGGTGGGGGTGGTGGGTTGGGAGCCATGGTTACAGCAGAGATCAAGAATTCCACTCTGCACATGCATATAAAGAGTGGTGCGTTTCGCTTATGGAAGACAATCTGGCCATATCAGATGGAAACAAACACAAGAATCAATCGAACCAAAACAATAGAAATTGAGCAAAACTGGTTTTGTCGCAAGAAGCATTACTGACGTATTTTTCCACATTTACCAAACTCTTCAATCTAGTACCCAGCCATGTAATTACTAATGGTTCATATGATAATTTCTGAACGACAAAAAAACAAAAAAAAAACAGCATATTGCTAAACATTGTATCTATCCTGAAGCAAACCATTAAAATCCTTTGCCTTGAAATTTTGACGTAAATTCCTATTACTATTAACAAATTAACATCGTCAACCATAATCCATTACAATGTCTGATAGTGTTCGGATTTTCTCTAGCAATATAATATTCTAGATAATTTGCCATTGTATATTAAATGTAAATCCCCATAAAGTTCAAAACATCTGAAATACTTCTCCACATTTCAGATCTCACTTTCGATCTTCATAACGCAAGACAACAATCCAAAATGACATCATCATACATCACATGATAACAGTGCAAAATCTTTCTCTTTTTTTTTACCTTTTATAGTATCTACTCTAAATATCCCGTGCAATTCGAAGCCTGTGAGTACGGTGCTCTTCTCCCCCAAAGGCCGTGCTGTCAGTGTATTCGGAAACCCTAACTTCTTCCCTTCTTTTAACCTGCTGTTGACTATCAACCAATGACAAACAAGATACTCGCCAATCTTAACCAATCAGCGGTGGCCTTACGTGTTTCCAAAGAGCTCCAGCGGCATACGTTGGTCACTTCTGATTGGCTGATGATGTAAACAATAAACAAATGACGAACAGCTTCCGTGTCTTTCCTTTGCGCGGGAAATTTTGAATACGCAAAAAAGAAAAATTTATATATTGATATTTGTGAGGATAAATATCAACATATACTATATGCGTGTTGA